CAGAATTATTCTGTGTGAATTAAACTGGGTTTAGTGGCAGGGGGATCAGGCCCAATATAGCATTTTTTTCCTTTGCTAGCTACAGACCAGTAGCAAAACAAAAAGTTCCTGGAGCAGTGACACTGTATTGTGGAGTCAGGTGGTCATGCCTCCCCCTGGACTGTGCCAATTCAGAGAGAAAGAAAAAGATCGTATGTGTGCACGCGCACATACACATACATATATAATGTACAGTGAATGAAAGGGACAGGAAAAGCTGATACAGAACACAGTCCCCTTCCCCCCCACAGGCATATAGGTTAAGGTCATAACTTAACTGCATAACAGGCTGTCAATCCCAGTTTGTCTCCTGTTGTAACAAGTTACCTACTTGTTGATTAAGGGCATAAATCAGTTAGGTGCATAGCATCTTTCATCCCCATTATCTGCTTTGTAACTCCTCATACTCCCCACAGTTCCCTGCTTACTCTGGTTGTAATGGTGTTCCTGTCTTCAACCATGTCAGAACAGTGAAAGAAAACCACCAGCCTGTGGGTCCAGGTTTCTCATGGGTGGTTCTGAACAGCAGCCCAGAGCCTTTTCTTATCTTTGTCCTGTACCTTTTCTTTTTCTAGAGAAAGCCACTGATGGATCCCTGCAGAACGAAGACTGGGCCCTCAACATGGAGATTTGCGACATCGTGAACGAGACAGAGGAAGGGTAAGGGAGCTGGTGTGGATGTGCCTTCAGCAGCACAAGCATGTATCCTGTACAGTAAAATCCCCTGAAGAACCTTGGCTTGAGTGAGATGAAAATACCACGTCCCTGGTTGTTCTCTTAGTCTCTGCTGTGCTAGGGAGACTTTAGATACAGCACAGCTACTTGTCCTAGCCAGAGACTCCATTAGTTGCTACCCAGAATTCTTTATGTGAGCATGACAAGCAGTTTATTGACCAGGCCATTGGGTTCATTACAAGCACCCTGGCTTAAGCCATTTTTCATTCCCTTTCCCAAAAGAAAGTTATTTATCCTGATATGTCCCTTTGTTGCCCTCTCTTTTGGGAGTTTAACCATCTCCAGACTGGTAACTGAAGGGACTTGGAAAACCTCAGCCTACCATTCAGTTCTTTGACTTTATCCAAGCCCAGCTGGGGTTGTGTGCTGAGGTATTTGCATATACAATAAATTGGACATGTGCAACAGGGTGGGAGGTCTCAGGTCCCCTCTCCCTGACGAGCAGCTGTAGAATGAGACTTTCAAAAATCTGGAGCATGCCAGACACGCTGGCTCCAGGCCCTGTAAATAACCTGCACCAGGGAGGTGGTGAACTCCGCAGGGGCCACTCCCTGTAGCTGCAAAAATGTCAAGAGCAGCATGCAGTGGGAGCAGTGAAATCCAAAACAGGGGAATCTCTGCCCCCCTCCACTGCCCACCCCCACCCCCCCAAAGGGTAGTAGTAGCTAGGCCCAGTTTCCAGTTACACCACTTGTCATTTTTCTGAGTCACCTGTCTCTGCCAGTCATGCCCTTCAGTCAGGTATTCATATGTTCCCACAGTTCAGAACATAGCCCTGACCTCCACTTCCCATGCTATTTCAGTTCTGGGCCCCAGATGGCTCAGCTGATGTACCTCAGTCCTGTTGTATAGTGCTCCCTCTACTTGTGCTCTATCTGTCAGCATCCCTGCTCCCACACAACTTGGCCAGTGCACTCCATTCCTGGCCTGCATTGCCACTGGCTATTCTAGCCCTGGCCTCCCCCTTTGCTCTGCCAGTGTATCTCATTCCTGCCCTTAGATACCCAGTACTATGCCAGCCTTGGCCCTACCCTATCACAGCTTGTTTGTGTACTTCAGTCCAGCATCCTGCCCTCATACAGTGTTGCAGCACCATCCTGGCCCAGCACATCCAGCCTTTCTGAGAAAGCAGGAGTGTTACCAACTTCGTTATACCTTGTCTCTCTCCTTCAGCATTGCAGCTGAAAATGCAGGCTTCGTTTCTTCCTGCCCAGTATTGGCTGAGATTGCAGAATAAACTTTCTCTAAAGAAGTAGTGTGATCATTTGTGGGGGAAAGAAAGGAGCTCTTGCAGTTATCTCTTCTTAACATTCTTCCTACCAACATCACACTCCAGTCCCTTTTTGGCTCGCATTGATAGAGCAGCGTATCCTCAGTTCCCACCACCTTCCTCTGGTTTTGGGTCCTGTGCCAGCTGATGAATCCAAGAGCAGTGCCACTCATAGCATCGTCTCTTGTCTGTGGGCATGGTCACTCTGTCCCCGCACCTTGGATTGTCAGTGATGTTAGTACAGATGCCCATGGTGCCAGGAAGCAAAACTTGCTGGTGTAACTACCGTTTCTGCTGCAGAGCCATCAGAGCTGCCTCACCTGCTATTGTTTTGAGCCATTCCAAAAACAGAGGGAAACAGGGGACAGAATCACCAGCTAACTGCAAAGCCTTGGAACCTGGAAGCCACATTGTTATAGTCTCTGCTACCAGACCTAGTTCTTTGTGTAATCCTTTCTCCATCTGACTTCCCTGCAGGCCCAAGGATGCCTTCCGAGCCATAAAGAAAAGGATTGTAGGGAACAAAAACTTCCACGAGGTCATGCTGGCTTTGACGGTTAGTGCTATGGGCCTTTTCTCAGATACTGGAATCCTGCTATAAAGTTAGGTCCTTAGGCTCTCTGCTTCCAGCCTTTCCTATCTCCAGGGGTTACCACAATACTGTTCCATTGGGCTTAAGCTCAATTAAAAAGGGAAAAAACTACCGAGCTCAATTAAAAAGGGAAAAACTACAGAACTAGGGGGAGTCTGGGTGAATGGCTTTCAGAATCTGGGAGTGGGGAAGAGGAGTCTTTCTTTGGTCAAGAGTCTGTGGCAGCTCTGGAAAGGGGTACTTTCATCTTCAGAGTGGGTGGTACCCTGAGAGTCCTGCTGTCTAGTGTGGGAGAGACTGTGGTGCCAAGGCTCCCACTTCAAAGGCATGTGGTAGATACTATGTACTTTATTTGGAACGTGGAGGCATGAGTAGGGGAGAGGGATACCAGCAGATGGGATTTTTCTTTTAGAGCCCTATGTATCAGCTGACCCTTCATAAATTCAAGTAAGGCAACTCCGCCTCCCCGCTCCTTCAGCCAGGAAGGTGAACCAGACAGCATCTTATAATGACCCCTTTTTCCCATCTATTTTGAGGCAGTTGGGAGCTGTGATGTGGAAATGTTGCTGTTTACAGGCAAACTTTGGGGAGGTGACTCTTTCCCTCTGGGGGAGAGAGGCAAACAGGCCAGCTCATAGAGAACTGTAACCAACTAATGCTTGTCTGACTCCACAGGTCTTGGAGACTTGTGTCAAAAACTGTGGCCACCGCTTTCACATCCTAGTAGCCAGCCATGACTTCGTGGAGGGTGTCCTGGTGAGAACCATCCTCCCAAAGAACAACCCACCCACCATTGTGCATGACAAGGTGCTGACTCTTATACAGGTGAGACAGAGGAAGGGCAGCCGTGCAGGCCCATCTGTTGGGCAGGGCCCCTGTTTCTTCTCTATTCAAAACATGTGACAGGATGCTGGTTGTAGAGGGCATTTGAAAAGCAAGGCAACAGGGGTGGAACTTCAGTATCACATACAGCTGTGCTGACTGACGGCATGGAGGCCACTGGGCTTAACCTGCCTCATACTTCCAGCTGCTAGAACTAAAAATGGGACCTGGATCTCTTGCTTGGCAGTACAGAGCACTTAACTTCTAGAACATAGTTCCCAGCCTGGTTTATTGTGTCCTTAGGTGCTGGAATAAAAGGCAAATGATGTAAGTTACAGCATGCACTGTCTCCTCCTCTCCCCAGTCCTGGGCAGATGCATTTCGCAGCTCGCCAGACTTGACAGGTGTCGTATCTGTTTATGAGGACTTGAGAAGAAAAGGCCTGGAGTTTCCCATGACTGACTTGGATATGCTGTCTCCCATCCACACACCACAGAGAGTAAGTGAAGCCTGCATAGGACCTCTGGTAAAGGACAAACTGTGACTGCTGCTATATGGGGATGATAAGGGTGGGGATGAGTGGCTGAGGCTGCCTGTAGCACACAGAGATCAAGGTGGGTTGAAGGGTCTGTGATAGCAAATAATTGTGGGGCTATGGTGTAATGTCAAGAGGCTGTTCCTGTAGTACAGGAGCTGTGGAAGCCATGTAGTAAAGGGCTGCAGCTGTGGAGGAAGAGGTGAAAGGGAGAAGCAGGTGGAGCTGCTGGAAAGAGACAATGAATTTTATGAACTTTACCAACCTTACTGCTTTTGTGTTCTCATCTGTGAAAAATATAATCAATCTCTCTCTCCCTGCCCCCCGTATGTACTATTAATGCATTGCTCTGTCTCTAGACTGTTTATAGCCCTGACTCCCCATCAGGACAGAATTTACCTGCTGCCAACTCCCCTCAGGGAATGGAGTCCATTCTGCACCCTGTGACTTTG